AACATAAGAAACTATCAAAATATAATAGTAATAAAAAATAATAACAGTATGACTAATACCTCAACGTTATATTATGAAGAATAAATAAAATAACTTTCAAGAAAAAGTAATAAGATGTAATACTAATTTTAATAATAATAATTAACAAAATAATACTAAAAATAATTATTATTATTTTATAATTATTGGGTATATTTATATTAAATCTCTAACAAAGAAAAAAAATGATGGAATATATAAATGAGGAAAACAGCTGTATTCATTATAATTATATGCTTGTTCTTAAAAAAATTCACTAAGTCAATTATACTTATAATAATATTAAACGAAGAAAAAAAATAAGTATAAGCAGTGAATTTTATAAGAATATCTATACATAAACTGTTGTATACAAGATAATTATAGTTTAATAAGTATTATAAATATATTAATATGTATTATTATTTAATGACAAAAAAATTAATAATAAATACTAGAATAAACTGAACTTTATAAAGTTAAGATAAATGAACAAGTAAACAGTATATATAAGTAAAATAATAATAGTGACATACTTTTTTAAGGAAACAACTATTAAAAATACTGGGGGGTAAAAGAAGGAACTATTAAAGTTTGTATTATCTGAAATTATAAACATATAAGTAAAGTAAACAATAGCTGACTATAGTAATTTTTTTTATATTAAAAATAAATATATAGAAGTAAATACAAATTGTAGTAATAAGTAAATAAAATATAGTAATATAAGGTAGTAAATATGAGCCCAAAGGGTATATACAAATAAATATAAAAAACTAGTAAATAAATAAGTAAAAGTGTTTATCATAAATATTAAAAGCATTAAAAACTATAGTGTAATATTTACTCCTTTTTAAGGCTTTTGCGGTTTTGTAAGCGAGGAACTTTTAAATCTAGACTTTATGAGTGTTGACAAATGGGGACTTTTAGGTAAGTTTCCATTATTTTTCTTTTTATAATACATCTTTAAAAGAAACCTTTAGAGTACTATATTTATCAACAGTAAATTCACCAAAAATACACATTCAAGTCGGGGCTCGATTAGAAACCAATCGCGTAAGGCCAAAAAACTCTCAGTAAATAGCTGAAGTTAATCAAAAACCGTGAAATTGTGTTTTTGCTGGTCGATGGTGAATTTGAAGCGCTTACTTCCGTTTGGGGTATTTGTATTATTATTAATAGAAATCATCATATTATTTAATAATTAATTATTATCATTAATATAATTATTAATATTTAGAAAGCTCGACAAGAAAACCATCCAGGATTGAAGATACCTATAGTAGTTGTACCAGCGACCGTAAGTAATATCGTTCCTGCTTATTAGGATGGAGCAGGGTCTACACTTTTATTAACAGTGTTCACTAGCTTTGTTTCGTTCTTTCTTTATATTTTTAAACAATTGCTTATTTATTGCTGACATATAAGTTAAGAAAGTATGTAATTTCGCGAACGCCCAGTACAATATTCTATATCAGCTATAGTTAGAATGGAACAGCGCGGAGTTCTTATTTTCTGCACATGGTGTAATTTTCCAGTGACCTGCATCTTGCGTTTGGTAGCGTCGCTAAGCTAGAGAAATCATTAAATATACGTATATATAGGAAATAATTTGTAATGGTAAACAACACCCCAATATATCAGCCTTAAAGAGGGGTTAAAAATTTACAAAAGTTATAAGAATTGTAAATCTAGTCTAACAAATTTTTTAACGAATGGATGTATTAAAGAAAATATAGTAATTTAATATAGATAAATTGGTATAAAATTTAATGGACTATCCAGAATTATTAGTTAGTGTAGGTTAAAAATTAAGAGCTCATGCGGTGTATCTAATATTTTTTTCATGCACCGTGCCTGTGTGCGACTAACAAGTACGCGTTGGCGTTCATTTCGAGCATGCAACAATTGCAACCCGTCTTTAAAGTATTTTGCCTAGATTTTTTGTAACAGCAGTGATACCCGTTATCGGGTGAACTAAAATGCTTGAAGGTTTTGCGAAAGGTAGTTGTGGCGTGAATGGATTTATTTTGTCATCTTGCTAAAGCTCATTGCTCCCCAATTCCTTCTTAAACTTTGTAAAAGCGGTATCAAGTCGTAAATGTTATACATTATCACGTTTTAAATATTACATAACACTTTTTCTGGTTAAACTAATAAAGATGGTATGTATAAAATTAAACTAGTAAACAGAGGTTTTATCATTTTTCAGAATATATGAAACACTTAGGACTCTTGACTCTACTTTCACCAGCTTTTTGTACCACAGCCAAGTTTGTTAGATATTAGTTTTTTCACTCAAAAAAGTTGAATTTATATATTTACTGCTACGAATAAAATATTTAGCATGGGTTGTAACTAATAAACTGCAAGTGGTTAATCTTAAATTACTAAATTTAAAGCTATATACATTTTTTTTTTGGTGTGACCCCTGTTACAGCTGGACCATTCTGTTATTTTTTCATTAAAGGCAATCCCTCTTTTTTAACCTTAGAGTTGTAATAATACAACTCGAATATCTTCTAAACTCAACCAATCGCAAAGTTTGTTTACTTATTTAATTGGATGAAAAATGATGAAGGTTCCTTGATCTATAAAATGAAGAATTTAAAGTTTAATAAAACTTCTTTTTTTTTTTGGTTGCCCGAGAATAATTTATAAGTTACTAATAACACAGAAGGAAGGGAGACTTTAAAAAAAAACACATATCTTTTGAGGCGCTTAAAAATAGTCAAGCGCAAGGAACAAGGCATATATAAATAAAGAACGTTTTGGGCAAGTTGCTAAGAATACAAGTTAATATGATAACTTTCCACTCCTAACTCTCACCACATATTTTGTCCCCCCCAAGCACTACAGTTGAAGCACTTCTTTAAAATACAAATGCATTGAATATTGTTTTATATTTTTATTGTGGTGGTGTTTTTAAGGATGAGCTTAAAAGATTCATTAAAGTTTAAAAAACCAAGTTAGAAAACGTCTAAACACCTTATATAATCAATATACTACTAAGCACGTAACGAAACACGCCCTAAGTGTAGACAATATATAGCATATTCCAGAGGTTAATGTTAAAAGGTAAGCCCATTCAAACCAAAAATAATGCCAGAAGGGTTTTATTCGTGTGCATAACCAAATTTACCTTTTGGCGGACGGGGCCTTCTTCAACGGCTACGTCTAGTATTATAGGGTCTTTTCAAAGAACTTATTATTTGGTATAGATAAGAGTCCCAACTTTAAAATTAGTGCTCCTAGAAGTTTTATTGTGCACAAGTTTTTTTGCTTAAGTTGTTGATAATTTCCTTTTTCAGTTTCTTCGATCTTAGAATACTTGCGGCTTCGCAAAAACTTTTGCAGTTTGGCCCTTGAAAAGTCCAGGATTGGCTATTGGTCTTTTCTATTTTTTTTTTTTTTCTAATCTTTTTTTGGAGCTTTGACGGATTCATTGCGTTAGAATTAAAAAATACTTTTACCACGCATTATTTGCCTTGGTTGTAAGTGGTTTACTCGCCCATTAACTGTTGTCTATAGGTATTTCACTAATGTTAATGTTATGCTATGTAGCCTTCATATGTTCCAAAAGTTATTATTATAATGTTTATACCATCAATGATGGTGTAAAATGCGTTGATAAATAACTATAAAAAAAAATTTAAAGTTAGTGAAAATCTATAAATTTAACCATCAGATTTTGGGGCTAAGAGTTAAAGAAAAGGGAGCAATTAGGTTTTTTCTAAGGTGGATTTAAATTCGCTTTAAAGGCCAACCGTAAAAACAGAGGCTTTCTTTTCACCAGAATAAGCCGCCCCTCTAGGTAGCATTATAGAAAAAGGAGGTTTTCGGTGACGCCACTTCATAACTCCGCTATTCTCCAAAGTGCCCTAAAATTTTCAAATTCACAGAGCTGAGTTAATTTTTGGTTTTCAGTTGACATTAAGAAATAGTTTTAAGCTCTTTCTTAACCGGGTTGACGAGCTCTTATGAGAGCGTCTTAACCCCCGGGTAGCATGGTTGTGGAAAATCTACTTTTCTGGCGGTCTCTCAAAGCTTAAGTTCTCTAACAGAGCGGGTAGCTTAGGTTCGGAGTCAGTACGGCGGCTGTCTCTTCAGCATTTTAATTTTGTGTACAAGCAAGGCTGATGTGTTATCAAGCTCTTTTTCGTTTTTCAATATACTGTCGGCTGAACTGAAATTGTGCATATAACAAATAGCGGAACCACGACCTAATGCTGGGATACTTCTGTTGGGTCTAAAAATGTTGACGGGGTCCCATTCCACAAGCAAAGGGGGAGAAAGGAAGGGGGCCCACCTTATTTATTTTGGGTGTTGCTTAACTACCAATTACTATAACGTTGCAGTTTGCTTGCAAATTTTCCCACATAGTTGGAAACTTAGCCTCAGGGAGATTCAGAAAAAATGTCTCCTGTTCGTGGTTAGCCTTCGTGGCCCTCTTGTGTCCACCGCTATATAAAAAGTGTTCAATGGAAGCGGGATAGAAAATTATAGGATGGGTTTGGGAACAAAGGCTCCAGCTCAGGGCTAGGCTTTAAAAAGTAGTTTTTAAATATACAAAACCTTTGTAACTCCTACTAAATAAAACCCAAAGTTTTTGACAATTCCGATTAGTTGTGGGATGCATAAATACATTTTTAGAAAAGCCTTCATTTTAGCAACTCTAGTTACAAGCAAGGTAACCTTGAAATTCTATGGTAGACGAAAAATACAACTAAAAGATAGGTGTTTGTAAAAAGACTATACATGATGAGTACATGGATATATTTTTGGCTAAACATACAAACGTACCAAGACAACCCTATTTGGGAGCTACAACAGTTTGCAGAAGGGGTATTTTAGGAAATCGTTTTCTGCATTCACCATGCATTAATGCGGCCCACACTTCACGAGGTTACTTTAGTCATATGGCGGCTTTAAGAATGGTGGTGTAATAAAAAACTCAAGCTTAAACGAAGCACTTCCCTGCAACTATTGTAAGCATGACCCGTTTGGATCAAGTAGAGCGAATGATAGTAAAATACCCCGATTTCCCTTCCAAAGGAATATTGTTTCTCGATATTTTCCCCTTATTTAAAAGTCCTTCCGCTATAAAAGCGTTATTGGAGGAATTTCAAAGACACATTACTCCTTTGTTAAAGGTTATAACTTTTGTTCTTTGTATTTAAAGTTAACTAAGTTACTTGAACTTGGTAATTAAGAGCTTATTCATAATATCCTATTAAAAGGTTGACACCATTGTTGGTTTAGAGGCACGCGGTCTTTTATTTGGTCCTACTCTTGCACTTAAGTTGGGCTGCGCTTTCGTTCCTGTCCGGTTCAAATTTTTTTTACTGTAATAGCGGGCTAAACCATTACTAAATTTTTCTGTTATACTGCACCTTCCCTTGTTTCTGCAGAAAAGCCGGTAAGTTACCTGGACACACCGTGAGCGTAGAATACAAGAAGGAGTATGGTATCGACAAGCTTGAAATACACGCTGAAAGCATCAGTTTTGGAGATAACGTCGTGATCATAGATGACGTCCTCGCTACTGGTGGAACTATGAAGGTTTCTACAACCTTAAACAATTCTTTTTTTCCTTATAGAGTTATTGATAAACAAATATTCTTTTTATTATAAGGCTGCTGTGGACCTGGTAAAAAAGCTCGGCGGAAATGTTATAAAATGCTTGGTGCTTATCGAAATCACCGAGTTAAAGGGAAAAGATATTGTCGGCGCTCCTTGTTACGCACTTTTTGAAAATTAATGGGACATACATATAATACTTTTCATCCCACGCCCATAGCGCTTTGAAATATTAGCGCACCAAGCCCTCATTTTCGAATTTTTTCGCTAAATAAAATTTCTTAATCTTTTAAAAAATTTTGCTGGTTTAATAATGAAAATTACGAAAATACATATATAAACTTTAAGAACATTGAACGTAGTTTTTTAAAGTATGTTTAAAGTCTAGCAAAGACGAATCTACACGTTTAAGGTAGTACAAAGGAACTTTTGTTAATATAAATAACTTTCTTGGGGTCTTCAAATTAAACTATTAACTAACAATTTTTTTTTTATCGCAAGAGGCTACATATTTAAAGTTCCTTTCTTAAAAGGGTATAAAAGATTCGAGCGTGAGGTTTGACTGATTACGTGGGAATTCAGTCTGCTTTTACAGTCTGACGCTCCTTATGGGCTTAACAAACCAAGCGACACCTTAAGTTGTAGTGCCCAAGTTTTGGGACTCGGTACCTTGATAAACCATCCTACCCCGTGAGAGGGCTCCACTTTTCAGCATACTGGAAAAATCTAACATGTTAACTTCCCACTAAACTATGTATATAAATCGGGTAGCACAAGTTATTAAAATCAATGTGACGGAGGGGGGGGGTCGCTCGAGTTAACCCACAAGCTGTTAAACTTTATAAATTGCCTTTGCCCCCACTTGTTTGTTTAACACTGCGAGTAAAATGACATAATTTTTGAAGTTGGTAATAGGCACATGGCTAAAGAAACTGAAGAAATATCATCATTATCCCATAACATTTGCTGGTTTTTTCTTTACCCGGTGTATACCACCTGATAAACCGCCTATCTCACATTCTTTGTTAATAGTCAACTTTATTTACAAATTATGGCCTTAATTCCGCACCTTAGATTTAGAATAGATATTTCATTCTTAGTTTACCACTCCAGCGACATTTGTAGACTGTTTCCGTAGTACTATGTTGTCCAATTTTTAAAAAATGAACAGTATTCCTAAAAAATGTTTACTGTCGTCCTTAATTACCTTTTACTTTGTACGCCCCATTTTCAAGTACTTCTACTACCTTCCCTGGGCCTTCCTGCGGATTGCTCTGGACCTAGGGTTACACACTGCTTGAGAGAGTTCTAAATTTGCAATAAATAACTAACTTAACTAAAAATCAGGTTATATTATGGACATACGTATCGAAAGATAGGCTCTTAAAACTGGTAAACCCAGAGGCAGGCTTAGTCCATTGACAGGTACTATCTTCCCCGTAACATGCAGCGAACACGAATGGTTACTAACATAACAGAACATATCACATAACTTTGTTCACTAACGAGACTTGTTTGAACCAAATGTTGACTATGGTGCTCACACATAACACTGAATACACAAAGAGATAGCAAGTCTAACTTTGTTATGAAAGCTCCGCTTTGAATGCTAGCATCGCCTTCTGAAACCATTTGTTCTTATACAAGGTGAAAGAAGAGCAGTCATATTCCACATTAACACTGTTAAAAAAAATTCTGCCAAAACAGCTAAGTTATGCATAAAACTATATCATCCGAGTGATTAGTTGCGGACGAAAGTCATGGCGAAAAGATATTTATAATGAGTGATGTAACCTAAAACTTGCATCCTATTTCCGGGGCTAAGTAAGATCTAGGTATCGAATGGTATGATCTTAAAAACAATTTTTCGTAAGGTGAAATTCCTCTCTAAGCTGCCCAGTAGCTCGCGCAAAGATGTTAGGCTTTAATGGTGGCTTTCACCTTTGCTTTCCGTTCAGCTAACTGTCGATTGGGTTCTGTAGTATATTGATGAATCCAGCATCATGCAATGTTACATGTAGCATAATAAAACCATTTTATTTCGCGCAAACAGCATCAAAAAGCGTTCCGAATCAGCAACACGTTGTTTTTTTTAGTCCACCGCAAGCAAACGAGTTACCCATTTCAAACAAGGATTTGTCATGCCAAAATATTCGTGCAAAATTTAGCCCACATGAGAGATTTTCGCCCCTCCAAAAAGTGGACGCCCATCTAGAGGAAGCATGAAATTATTGATTAAGGTATTAAATTCTGACACCATTGATTCTTGTGACGTCAACACGATCATCAACGGCAATTTTGTAATTTTTTTTTGATGTGTTCTGAAGCTTTCAGCACCCCTTGCGTTTGTACAACTCCTTTTTGAACTCAGAAAACCACTAAAGAATCGTTACTTGTGGCGGAGCAGATCCTTAAAACACTTTTCTATCTATTGATATCGATGGGTATTTTTCATCCTTCAAAATCAGGTTGATCAACACACGAAATTCGTCTTTTTCTTAAGTTATGAAAGTAATAAAAAGTCACTTAAAGTTCAATATATCGGTAACATAAGGATATGTTGGTTACTAACCGAGTATAGTTTGGGTTCTTTGATAGAAGGCATCATTAGGTTAGTACAGAAACTATATAGGCGACGGGTGATTTAAATTATGGTTTTATTACTATTTTTTAAAAAATTATTTATCTACATATATAAACATAATGTTAATATTTTATACCAAAAATTAATAATATTTAGCAACAGAAATTGCTAGCGCTACTTCTTAGATTGTTAATAATAAAATGGGAGAAATACAAAAGAAAAGTACTTATGTTATTTAAATATTTAATAAAGAAAAGAAACTTTTCCAGTGTTTAAAAAACTTAAATTTTTCTAAGCAAAATAATAATCATAATAAATAATTACACTGGACCAACAATTTTTCTATTATTTTTCATTAATTATTTTAATAACGAGCTCTAGACTACATAAATAATGAATTAAATAATACCCAGCAACAAAGTGCAGGATAATAATAAAAAACAGAAGGGTTAACAATAAACTTCTAAAGAGTAAAAAAATAATTAAACAAAAATGAACTAGTAATATTACAGTTTTTGTTAAAAAAACTTGGTTAGAACTAATCAACTGTTTAAAATTCGTCCGTAAAAGTTGCTTTACATTCACTGATGTTTCCTCATTTGGAAATTGTTCCAATTTTTTAGTATTGTTAATTCCAGCTTTTCCCTATGCGCAGTCAAATTTAAACTGTTGCGCTTATAACTAGTATGGTTAATTAAAACAGAGGAAAATAAGTATATTGAATTGCTTTACACCCGCACCTAAGAAGGGAGCTAAGGGCAACTGAGGTTGTTCACACCCAACTTTAAACTAAAAGCGACGCCACGCAACTATTAATAATAATCCTGCGACTTATGGGCTTAACTAAGCCTTATAATTGTCTAAGTGGCACTCCTTATTAATCTATTTCCTCAAAGTGAAGCTCCAAGTAAACAACAAGTAAAAATAAAGAGATATTGTTTAAATTCTTATGGATTACTGGTTACTATGTTTACCACTTCTCGCCTAGGTTCAATTTACAATAGTAGGTCTATGAAAAATAGCCCTAAACGACAGACTAGGTCTCTGAAACAATCTCTGGTATGTTTGAGTACTATGTTCTAAAGGTCTAGGTAGCAATCAAAAAACATAAAAAAAGAAGTGATTAATTTAGTTATCAGTGAAGGTGAAACAAAAAATCTATTTCACGTCCCAGAGTTTTGTCCGTAAAAGGTTAAATTGGCCTTTAACGCATTATTTTATTCTAATGGATCCTTTAAATTATATACTTGTCATTGACTCCTGGCACTCGTTCGAGTCAATAAACCGCATACCCATTTTCAATTTTGGAATTTTAGACCCTTACTATAAAATTTTATATGCTTAGCAGGTATAATTCAGAGATAAGTAAAAACAATTTTTTTTCAGCTCGAACTAGAAACTACAAAAAAAACTATTATTCAGTGGACTATATTATACTTGGCCCTACGGGAAGGAGTGGGGGGTGAAGGACTTAATATTTCAATTTGATTTGACGACTTTAACTTAAGAAAAAAATAGACTACGATGACCTAAATTATTTTTCACAATTAGAGCTTTAGCTTTGTAAGTCATTGAGACTAAGTATATAATGCACGGAATACCTTTTTAACTAGTTAAAATTCTAATTATAACGTTTTACAGCATGCTAATACGTATAAACAATTCTTTAGGCATTAATCAAGAAAAGCCCCCAAATTAATTATAATTGTTCTTACACCGACATATATGATTTTTTGACTCCCTAACCTTATTTTTCCATTAAATTGTAGATTATTATAATCAAGAAAATTTCTTTTAAAGAATTTTTTTAAGATTGTACCATTATTCAGAGTTAGACCAATGGGTTCTAAAGTTTATTAATTAACTATATTTGTGTCTGTGCTTTTTCCACTTCCTCGTTTTATATATGATTTGTCCTATGCAACACCTTTTTAAATAGAGATTTTGTGCTAATAACAACTTATCCCATTAGATTAAAAAATAGAGAGTAAGTATAATGTTAACTTTGTTAATAGATATCTCTCTCTTTCAAGAGGTCAAAGCAGAAAACTTTTTTATGCTATTAAAATATTCAGATGTTCTGCACCAGCAGGCTTTAATGTAGGATTTATAAGAAAGTTCCGTGTTTCTGTGCCTTCCTGTGGTATAGCTTTTCCACTACCATTCTTTTTCTCTTACAATAATACACCGCCAGTACATTAAAGACTAATATAATTGCAACCGACGGGCAGCTTATGATCAAAGCATATTTTAGTAGGTTTCCATTCCTTAAAGTAGCTAACACCCCCTTAAAAATTAATCTAAGTATTACAATACTTTTTTCTCAAATATTAGAAACCTTTTTAGTACTTCTGTCATTCTTTTTTAAAGTTTTACGTCCAGCAGTAACCTAAAAAATATTTCCTTCTCAACAACCACTGGTTAAAAAAAATAATAATACGTCTACTTTGGCTTCGCCTTGGTTTAAACCATGTTTCTTTCTAAAGTTAATGTTTATCCTTTCCTAAGTTATGTAGTTATTCATTTAATTACAATTTTATATTATAAAATAGCGTGTGTGCCTGGGTGTGGATTTTACAAATATCCACCAGAGTAATCGTAATTAGGAGAACTTTTAAGTTTCTTGAAGTTCCTTCCATTCTTTAAATTTATCTAACAATATAAAAATAACGCTGTCAAGAAAAAAGTTTATTTTAACGATTCCCTTAAGTTATATTTTTACTATACTAACAAGTTACTTAAGGGCTCTTTATTGTGAATTAACGAATTCGTTAGTCGGGAACTCATAACCCTGTTATACTAATATGGTAGGATACAGGTCATTAAATAAATATGAATTCGAATAAAAGAACTTTTGTGATCTTTTAAAACAGAAATAGGTTTATTACTCAAAGTTTTGCTTTTTTAATGCTAGTGTTCAACTATTATAGAGATATTTACTTTTATCCTCCTAATTTTTACGGAGTTGCCGGTAACTTGCACTTCATGAGGAATAAAAGGAATTAAGGGCACTACTCCATCGTCGCTCGATAAGTGAATAGAGTTACATTCCTTTGAGGAAATTTTAGAAAATGCCTTATGAGCCCTGTTGTGGATGCACAATAAAGCGGGAAAGTTTAGAAAGCTATAAGTGACACGTGAGCAACAAAGAAAAGTTTTATCCAGTCCAATAACCCTAATGAGAAATGAATGTTACTCCACGTAAATGTATGTAAAAGAACGTATATTTACTTACAAGTGGGTAAAATTAAAATTGCTGCTGAAAGCATTAGGCCCAATTTCGGTAATAGGGTTTTTATAAAGGTTCCTTAATGACATTAAACAAAACCCTTAAATACATGTCGTTTATATAAATAAATCAAATAGTATGACTTAAATAGCTATTTAAGTCTTAGTAAATACTACCAGAAATTATTTTTATAGATGAACATAAACACTTACAGGTAGGTTAGCTGTCCCAACATAGAAATGGCTTGGGAAGAAACTGATTTAATTTTATTATCTAACAGACTTCTGTGTTAAAACTATTAATAAGTGAAAGAAAATAGCATTTACTTTGAAATTATTATAAAACCAATTTCGCAACTTTGCTTAATGTAAGAGACAATGAAATTTGAATATAAATAAATTTGCATTAAGTGGAATGAAGAAAATTTTATAGATGTGAATTTTAATAACTAGGGCCATCGTACTACCAAGTTATTATAGTTGAATTTGCATGAAACATAAAAATTATACCCAAAATTGCTAATTTGAGACTAATACCGGAGACATTCTTATTTTTCCAAATAGAGATAAGAAAAATTTTAATAACATAATAATAATAAGTTCACAAAGATATCCATATTATTATTACAAGTTTTTTTTAAGCTATATTCCTTTATTATCATTAACTTTAAAAAGAATTTAAATACTTTTTTCCATCACTTTAAAAAAAATAAATTTAAAGTTTCAAGTGTAAAAAGTAAAAAGTAAGTATTGCATAGAGAAGGAAAAGTTTATCTACTAAATATTGTAGCCTTTAAACTTATTAAATTTCTTTATTAAAGCTAATTATTTTTTTATTTAAAGTTCATAATTAAATAATTATTTGTACCATCATAAAAAAACTACAGTTAACTGTGCCTATTAGTATTTTAACTTTATCTACATGTTACTAAACTTAAATTTTAAACTTACAACATTTGTAGTTTATGTAGCCCCTTGAACGTTTAACCACATATTTTAATAATTTTATTGTGGTGTAAATTCCTTTAAAAAATATTTATAGGATAAGTAATTTATATAAGCCCGTTAAACCTTAATACAATAAACTTTACAAAAATAACTTGTAAAATTCTATTATATTAAGTTTTTTTTATAGCTCTAAAACACATAAAACGGGGTTACTTTCACGATAAAATACTTCTGACAAGCCAAATTTACGGAATATATATTTTTACAAAAGTGTTAACGCCGAAAGATTAGAAAATGCGCCACCAGAAACTGACTCAATGGAGCAGTTATATAGGTACCTAATCATATATCATAATAGTAAAAAAATTAATAGAAATATATTTCTTTTGGTTAAATGGACAGTAGCTAGGTATTACTTACAAAGTTTTATATCATAACAAGATCTTAATATATATTTTCATCATGTAAAAGTAGGGTTTAGATATAGCTCTCTAAATGTTTTTTTAAAGAAAGTTAATATTGTCCACAATCCAAAAACTAAATCTTTCAATGAAATAATGAACATTTATAAATAAATTTTATTTATAAGGAAGGCTCTGCCAAACTAAAACATTACATCGATATTCTAGTCGGAAATTATGGTATTTTAGTTTTTTATTGAAAAAAGTTATTAACTAGTCAGTACTCTGTTTATTATACTAAAAAAAAAACTTTTTGTCACTATTATTGCAGAGTACTAGCAATATACCTATAAATTTGCATAAATTAAAATTTACAACTCGGTTAAGTTGATATGCTCTTTAAGAAATCTACCATCCATCGAACCAAGTTGGTTACTTCCTAAATTTCTAAAGCAAGAATATATTTAAGTACAATTAACAATTGTTAATTATTTTAACAAAATAAAATATAAAGTTGATGATTTTAATATAATTTTTGAGCAGTGAGCTAAACTTCTTCGTAAGTAGTTAATTTAAATTAAAGTAACTTAGAGAGAAAAAATTTATACTATACATATCCATTACTTACAAATAAGTTAAATTTGGTAAACAAAAATCCGCACAGTAGGGCATCGTTGCGAGCCTGTTTCAATGAAGGGATCTATGCGTGGTATCGAGTTAAAAAGAGCTAATGGAGGTACGGGTTAAATTATTGCTTCATTGAAGTATTTTATTAAAGAGCTTGGCAAACTAGCCCAATAGCGTTTACAATTAAATTATAGACCACATATTAATCTTTTATATCTCATCATAACATCTGTAGCTTGAGACTATATAACTATATCCTACAACTTCTAACTAGCAGAGTAATTTTTAGTTAACGTAAAGTATAAGAGGCGGTTACAGAGCTCGTTGGTTTCCTTAAAGAAAATTTACAACTTTTACTAAGGTAATATTTTAAGACAGGTATACTAATCAATAAGATATTATAAAGCATTTTTAGCCTATCATTATGTTATTTCGTAAAAAGATTATTCTTCGCGATATTTATATTTATTTGCTGGTCCCACAGTGTTAGAAAAATAAAAAATTAAGAATATAATATGAAAGTTCATGACAAAAAAGCTCTTATAAAAAATTTAAAAGTTTTAAGTTAGCAAAAGCAGCTTCTTCAATCCTTTCGATGCTATTATCATCAAGATACCTGGATTGTTAACGTTTATAATGATTACCGGGCACTTTACATTACAAACTAGCTTGAAACATTCGACCAGCTAGCCTGTGCTAATTCTTTCAGGGGACTAGTGAACATACATATGAAAGGATTCTCTTCTTTAAAGAGAACTTTTAAATCTCTACTTCGGTCTTAAATATCATATACAATCTACAAGTACAAGACGTAAAAAGTCAAAGAGTTAGGCACGAAAAACTTACAAACGTTCTAGACTTTCAAGACCGTCAAACATATTATTTCTAATCACTCTTATGATGTTTTTTTCTAAATTCCTTTATAAAAAAAAAAGTATTTTTTAAAAGCTACGTCAAGTTTAAATAAATTTTTTTTCTCTGAAATAATTTTGGGTAGGTCAAACTCTGTGATGTCAACATTTTTAAAGTTACTAACTACAATTTCGTCTAACTAGATTTTGTTTTTGAGATTGTCTGTATAATTTAAATAATTTTAACGGGTAATTAAAAAGATAAAGCTTTTTACTGTAAGGTTTTTATACTCAACTACATCGAGACAATACGAATATACACTTAAAAACTTACAATGTTTGCAAGTTAACTAAATTTTTAAAAACTTGATTTTCAATGGAACTAAGTTCATTATTTCCTAAATTACTTAAAATTACAGTTAACAACGTAGTTTCGGAAATTGTAGAAAGATATTATTCATCTAATTAAGTATTCTCTTTTTAGTGATAATTAAAGTCAACAGACTATTGACAGTGATGTTAATTTACTCAACGAAGCTCTCTATAATCACAATATGAGGTATTCAGGCCATGACAAGATTTTGATAACATTTTTTTTTGTATAAAAACAACTTGTTATAAAGCTCTCTATAATCAACAATATGAGGTATTCAGGCCATGACAAGGTTTTAATAATTTTTTTTTGTATAAAAACAACTTGTTATAACTAAATAAGTTTTTTTTTTAAAAAAAGAGAGGAGAAAAACTTCCAAGTTGGTAAAGGTACTAAGAAGTCGTAAAAATCTAAACAGTTAAGTAAATTAAACTTGCCACAGCTTTAACATTAAATTGTTTAAAGGCGCGGAATATATCTATAGTACTAGTACAATATATATATATAAATGAGATAACACAAGAATGCTCCGAGATACATATATAAATATAGTACTAATTCTATTACACACCCAATTAGATTGAGCATGCATTCTTCGGAGAAAAGGTAATGTATTTGTGCCATCACTCATTATGTGTCATAGATGATTTATGATTACTATATTTTAAGCCCTTCTAGATCGCTGAAGGAATTAGTCTTTATTAACTTAATTTGATTGCCGTATAAGCTCCTTCAAAAATAACAGTCAGTCGGTGTATATTGCTTGCTTTATCGTATAATATTCTAATGGTCATCTTATAACAGTTAAACTATGATTCCTGTAAATCCTTCTGGGGTAAAATAGTAATGAAAAACTGACGATAGGAAGTTGTTTATTATGTTAAAGTTAATAACAGTTTTTTTCATAAATATTTTTTTTTAGTATAAACCTTCACGATTCTTTTTAAAAATATAAGGTAAATATCACTCTAAATAGTTGCTTTAATAATTGGATTTTTATATAGTTAATTAAGAATTACTGCTATGGAGTTGACATGAATAAATTAAAGCGTTACTTTGATAAAATAAATGGAAAGAAACTAACAGAAATAAATGAAGTGCAGAATTAAATTACAGGATTCTAAGGTTCTTTAGGTCCTTAAATAAGTTTTCGCCAATAGCAGTGGTTTCATTGCTACCCAAGTTTCTTTAAAAATTATTTTATAAGCGTATACTATCTTCAAATAGTAAGCTTTAACAGAAAGGGTATAATATAAATTTTGCATAAACAGGAAAGATATGGTTCAAGAAAGCCAAGGAAAATCTAATATAACTTCTATAAGTTTCTCGCTCGAAAGCTTTACTTAATAGCCAAATTTATGATGTACTACGATCTTTAATAAGGACAACGTATCAACGGCATTAATGTACCATCCTAAGATAAGCATATTTGAACTGCATAAAACTAAAAGTTTTATCATTCTATGTACAGATTCATCTATTTGCGAATGATTACTATGGAGCTTTATTAAATTAATAAAACTTCTATTATATTAGCGCTCCCTATCTGAAATAGGCCCGTATTCATATCCAATTGTTTAATGGCCACATGCATTTAGACTATGTAAAAAGAACCATAAAATCTACTTAGTTCCACTTTTTGTGAAGATAAAAGGGCTTAAAAAGTTTAGTAAACTTATAACGTACAAATTATTTAGTGTGGTAAGCTCTTTAAATGCTTTTTCGCCGAGATAAGTAATTTTACTTTAGGTAATTTCTCTGAACAAGCATAATTGTTAGTTCTTACAATATTCAAACCTTTACAGGAGGACTTACAAAGAGCGTACGCTTGAGGGTAGCTCCTTACCAAAAGGAGGAAATGTAAAGAAGGAACAGTGCGACCACTTTCTAGATTTTATAAAATTATTAACGCTATCTAAATTTATTATTTACTAAAATAGATGTATTAGAGAATAAGGTTAACTCTATAATTATTATACAGTTAATTTTTCAAAACAATTTAAAGTATTGTTTGACTAAAGTATGTCAATACATTGATTTAAAAGAGAGTGATACCAGTTACATTCCTCATATTAATATAATTATATACGTGTGTTTTCCTAAAAAGTCTCCATATGTACAAGTAAGTAAATTACATAAAAAAGTCTGTAAGAGGGTCGTCACATTCAGAGTGGGAGATAGCCCTAAGTGTTAGTGCCCCAAGGAAAAGGGGGAGTAGAAAGCTCATAGTTGTAAAAAAATTTATTGATTCTTTTCAGCTTTAGCTCTATAGACTAAGGTCCTCAAAAAAACCGTAAACAGATGGCAAAAAGCACAATGAAAAACCGAGCTTGCTCATTAATAATAATATACAGATATATATAGAAAAAAAATAATGTTTAAGAAACAATCTTGCGTTTCTTAATCTAGCAGAATCTTAGATTTATGTTGCCAGAAATAAAAATATTGTAGTTAGAATGTGGCCCATTATAAATTTATTTTGCGCGCAGACAAGTGGATTACCTCGACTATGGTAACACAGGAAAACTTCAAAGTTAAAAATGATAACAAAAACTGAAATTGGAAGGAAGTATGCCTATTATGAATACCTTAACACACTATTATATTAAGTTAGTTACTTAGATTAACCAATAATTATTTAAATAAAATGCTAACAAACATAACTTTTTTAATTAGCGAGTAGAATAGCATTTAGGAATACCCTTTGAAAATTATATAATAGAAAATATTCGTAATATACTTTGCCCCTTAAATTAATGATACTATCCTTCTTTGAACATATATGAACGGTGTATAAAGGAAAGTATTTTTTCTGTTAACCTTTTTTTAAAACATGTTTAAATAGTAGTTACTAATGGCAGTTTTTGGCGATTAGATCTCTTTTTTACTAATCTTTTATATAACTCGATTTGTGTATTACCTTTAATCTTGTAGTTAAGAAAAGTGGTTTAAAAATTCTACCAAAATTATAACTAATTTTATAAACATGATTTAATATTTAATAAACTAAAAATGTAGCAAAAAAGCTTTTTAATAGCCAATAGTTTTAAATATTTTTATGAACGAAATGATGCTATTAATCACATAATTTATGCATAGCGTTTTAACCTTAAACAATTTTTAAACCAATTAAATTTTGCGGTTAAATATAATTTAATAAAAAATTAAAAATAGACAATAAACCTAAACTAAACGCTTTTTAAAAATCTAAAGAGTTAAACTTTGTTCCATTATCGAAGGAGACATTTTTGTCACCCAACAAAGTTTCTTTACCAGAATTGCAAAAAAACGTTAACTAAGATTTTTGATTTTAAAATTTCTCGTTAAGCTATATAGGAGCCCAAAATGTATATTTTATAAAGTAGTGGATAGTAAAAGGTATAAAATATATTTAGTTGTATATGAACGATATTTACAAGCATGATAGGAAGAACATACAGTACAAAATATACATTTTTAATTTACAAAGAACTTAAATATTTAGTACACATAAAACCCACTAAAATTGGGTACATCTAGGTTAGCAAAGGAAGCTTAGCAAATCTTTAAAGATTTTCAAACATTTATTTAATGGGCTAGTCCAACTTGAAAATATTGCCCACACGAGAAAACCAAGTAGAACTCTTTACAATATTAATAACTCTCCACAAATAATACGCTTATACAAATATAAGAAACAATTTTATTTCAAGGGGTCTTTACTTAAGTTCAAAAAAGGAATAGAATTTATGTAATAAATAGGGACTTTTTTGCCTCAAACTATAGGATAGGATGATATAAAAATAACTAGTGGTTACAAGTTCCACAAATAGAAGTGACAGTTTTTGGATTCTAAACTGGTAGATTCTTTGTGTGCCATAGGATATCTATTTATGACACCAAAAGTATTAGAGAATTTTATCATTTTTTTATTTCAAGTGGATGGAAGAGCTACCGGTTTTAAAATTTAAAAGTTCAAAAAAAAAATTTCTCGCTCAGTAATACTTATATATTAATTGAGAATTTTGGGAATTATAAACATACAGCTTATACATAATAAGGAAAACTTATTTGATTCCGTTAAAAAAACTGCAATAAATGATTCTTTTTGTTACGAACAAACAATTTATTTTATTTTTTTAATAATTTGAGTGCTTTTATTTTTACTTTACTTCGGACTGGGGGGTTTTATTATATTTTTAAAAACCTGCTTATAACCACGGTTTAAGTAATAATAAGGAACCTAAAATAATTTTTGTAAATGTAACTAACTTAGAGTAACATTAAACACACTTAGTAGTGGTTGCCCAAAGGATTTAAGTTGCTAAATATAATGTTTTGGAATGTATCTTCTCATGCTTTCTTCTAATTGCAGCATTAACAAAAATCAAAAAGCCTCAATTTGCAAATACATAAGTATTCATAAAAATTTTTATACCCATGCAACCTTAATTGCTTGTTATCTTTAATATGAGCTTTACTAATATTTTTTTTTTAGTAACTTTTTGAAGTTGGTAGCTACATACATTAATTATACAGATTTTAATAATAGGTTAAGCATACACGCGTAAACTGAAAAAAGTTTGATATCATATATTGTTTGATAAATTATACACATGTTAAGAAGCGCTCGAGCAAGATGTATGACACCTTTAAACAACGTACTCGTTTAAGAGATTAATTGCCGAATGCAATGCAAAGTAACATAGTAAAAGAGTTCTGGTTTTACTCTTTTCATTCTGAATTTATCATTCATGCTCTACAATTTATTCTGAAGAGATATATGAAAAAATATTTTTTTTATTGATTTGCGTAAATCCTCTGTAATTTCTAGCTCAGAGAGCTCGGTTTCGAATGATAACGTATAAAATTTAGCGTAGTTCATATTCAGTTTCCGGAGTTTTCTCATAATTTATATATATAAGTACCCGCAGAGCTATACAAACAAGAAATGTGCGCTTAAATCTTAGACAGTCCGGAGTAGTTCGCCTATCCAGGATTTGTATTTGGGTTCTTGAGCCTACCGGTAATTTAGTTGCTTATTAACACGTTCTTAACCGCAGAAGCTTGTTTTGTTGCGTCCCACAGTTATATAATTACCGCACGCACATTTTATACAGACGTAATTATGTGGGTTGCCGTTTAGGCCCTAACCCTAACGCATAATACTTGATACCGTCAAGTTAGTTGCTTATCGAGGATGACGCTTAGGTGTTTAGCCTTAGAACTACATGGGATCTAAAAACCTTGGAAAGCTAGAGACGACGGGTGTGTAGTTCTTCTTATGATGAAAATAGCACTACTTTTCTTTACATTAATAGTGGCCTTCCACTGCCTAAATCAATTAGCAAGTGTGCTTTTATATGGAGTTTAGGAGTTTCCATAATAATGAGGGACTCGCGTACACTGCAATGGCATCGGCGTAAATGGTGACGGGGGTGTGAGAAATTAAAGGGATTCGAACACCTCGCGGGTACAACGCAAAGGGCGGAGGCAATAGCAGAGAGTTAAACAAACACCAGCTGTCAGTGGACGGTATAAGACCAGCGCGGTGCCAAATCTCACGTGAGACCACATTGAAACAATGCCAGTATACATAGTAGAGGGTAAACAAAGTGTGCGTAGTTTGCAAAGAAAATTCTCGGGTCAAACGCGGTTAAAGGCTTTAAAGTTTCGAATTGTCTACTCAAAAAAGCGCAAGAGGTGTTGTGTTGTCGTTGAGTGGCCTTTCCGAAATCCCTATTGGAATTCTGAAAACGCTACCTGTGTCTCTATAAACTCTGCCAGTGGCGTTGTAATGCCTGACGAAAGGCTAATAATGAGGCGATATTTACTGGGGTCTGGTAAAGTCTCAAGTAGCGTTGCAACAGTGGTTCTTTTTAATCGTGGAAGGGAGGTACCAAGAGACGCAGTTAAATTTGCAAAACAGGAGAGCTTGTTAATTACCATCAGCATAAATTTGATAGCATCTCGTAATAATGTCTTTGGGGTTGAATGCTTCCGGTTGAGAAATTGCAAAGATTAGAAGAGTCATTTCATCAGTTCTGCTCTGTTTTATAAGTCCGTCGCCAACGGTTGAGGGTCCATGCATTATTTCGCCTTCAACCCTGAAGGTATTTAAGTGAAAGACTGCAATGAGCAGGAGGAGGGCTGACACAAAGCGCTAATATTTATCTTCGCGCTTTCAGTTACAATTACGCCATTATTAAGTGCCAGAGGTTCCGTCTGGCTATTATTATTTCGTTTGACAAAGCGCAAAAAAGATAGTAGTTCCTTCGTCGGCCGCTACAGACACGTTTTGCAGTTTTGCCTCCTGGCGACTATTGTGAAAAGCGGTCAGCTTTTTTCTGATGTATCTGTGAAGGTTTAACATCAGTTTGTAGGGACAGCGACTATCAACCGGTTGCGATTACAGGTCTAATATATATTTGGTAGACGATCAGGGCTATGTACAACTTCGTGTCAGAGTTAATAGCTGTCAGTGCGCCCTTTATACTATTAACAGCATTTTCTGCCAGGAAGAAAGTCGGAGGGGTAAGAATATTTTATGATTGATGTAAGAAATAAAATTTTAATTAACTTGTGTGCTACTGTTAGCATAGGTTAACTACTTATAGTCTAGTAGAGCTATTATATATAGTCAATTAACTGGAGGAGACAATGCTCGCTTTATTTCCCTAACCTTAACCCGAACACAATAAAGTTTTATATCCTATAGCCATTTAAAAATTGAAAACTCAAGTTAAGTCCTGTTAAGATTAAATAGTAAAAAATTCCGAGCATTAAATTAATTAGATTAAAGCACTTTTAAATAAATTACATCTTTCAGTAACACTATTTTGGTATAATATAAACCAAATAAAATTGTAAGCTATTATTCAATCATTATAAAAATAATAAAAGTTAGGCAGTATTAATTATATTCGGCTCGCTGTCCGCCTGGTTAAGTATTTAATTTTTGAAGAAGTAGTGAATTACTAAAAATAATTTGAGTAATTATTCTTTATTATTATAAGTCTGTTTGGCTGTTTGTTTAATAGTATCTTATCTATTAACTGTAAAGATTATTTTTATATGCTTAATTTTTTCAACAAAAAAAAAAAAGAATTATATGCACGATACGCCTTGATACTCTTCGCTCTATGATAAATTGGGTTTATGAGAGAATTAAATCAAAAATAATACGCTGAAGCAGAGCTACACCTCGAGCGAAAACCAGAACTTTGAAAACTGATATATTTTGAAATATTTCTTTAATTAAAATTATGGAATGCCTTCCCTTTAACCATCGTTTTAAAGCTAAATTCTTCTACTTCTTAAACAGATTAAATTTCTAAATGAGATGACGGTATGGCTGCTATCATCATAAATAATATAATTAAAACGTTTTAATGAAAAGCTTGAGAAACTAGTGATTGTACAGGCGAACCAAGTTCCGCAATCAGGAGAATGCTCTAAGCGGACTGTACCTTTGAAAGCTAGCACATTGTTTAACAGAGCGATCTTGATAAAACCTGAACATAAGGTCCTTCAGGCTATTTAGCATTCCTCTTTACATCATGTTTTACTAAGGCACCATTAGGATAGTACCATTCGAATAAAGTTGACGAGGATTTATATGTAATCGAGAGCCCGGTATACGACTGCTTGTTCTGGGTAATTCTGAGGTAATTACGCCTTTAATGCCAGGTTCCCCCATTAAAGGGAATGTTGTGCCCCTTTAGTAAAGTAACGTGAGTACTTATGCATTCTCTTCGTTTGTGGTAGCGCCAGCCTAAAGACGGTAAGGCCAATTTTTTTAATATTAATTAATGACCAGAAAGTTTTAATATTTCTTTGTTTTGACAATACTAAGCCCCTTTTTACCAATGTCTAATCGCTTCCGTTTGCGCGACGTTCTTGCTCAAACTGAATAGATTTTAAGCAAGCTCTTAACACAGCCAGTAGTTACATTAAAATATTAGTTTTAATATATGTTCCTAAACCTCAGGAATGCGAAAGTACAGTAGTATCAGGTTGGAAAGGGACTGTACTAGGCCAAAAAGGCGTAACTCTGATAGAGTAATCAAGAAAAAGTTATTCAACTCATTCATCATGAGGCTAGTTAATAAAACGTCTAAGATCTTGTTACAACTTTAAAAGAGTCTTATGTTCAAGGGTGGAAATGCAGAGAATAGATTGACCTCGCTATCCAAAACTTTAAAGAAACTGAGGACTTCCAACGGTAACGATATTCTACTAAAACCCGTAAAGCTGAAACAAGATCTTTGCAGGACAGTCAGTGACGTCTTTAAACATCACCTTAAAAACTGGAATAAATAGACATATTCATTAAATAAGGAAGTTAAATCCCGATTCGAAGAAATACCTATTACAACATCTATCGATATAACCTCCCAGAAATTTTTTTGGAATGAGTTTCAAAAGTTTGTACGGTTTAAATGAGGTTTCGTTCTCTGCAGATGCCACAATTCTAGATATAATAGAGATCTTTATCTCCGTTCTGGGTCAATGAAACTCGGTATACCTGTTCACATATCATGAAGATTCCATAATGCCCACCCAAGATTTGGAAATTCTGGGAAAAAATTGTTAGCTCACTTTTATAATATAAGACCGAGTCCTTAAATGTAAATTAATTGTGGAATTTCCTTTTATTTTTAAATCGGACAACTTAAAAATTGTGTCAGCGGAAGTTATGCAAAAATATATTTCCATTTGGACTTGCCATCTGAAAACAATCACAGGGGCCCGAACAATTAACGTGTTAAATATTCTATGATAAGTAGACGCGGCTGGTAGAATTAAGTTTGATATCGAAGTTATTTAACCTTCATGTAAAAAACATACTTTTGTTAAAAAAGTAAATGCTTGTAAAGGTACTACAGAAAAGTAATAAGGTAGTAACTATCTACCCAAAATTCCGAGTTTATTATTGTTAAATCCTTTTAGTTTCTGAAAAATATACTTTTGCTACTGTTTGCTAGCAATCTCAGCTTATAAATTTTTTTTATCATATAATATAATTATATTTTTTAACATATTATTTTTTTCTTTTAGTAAGTGATGAATACCTTTTTGAAGAGAGCGTTCTTATTATTAGAATTTTGACTTAAATTTTCGTACTATAGCTTTGTTAAGTTATCTCCATCAGAAAAATTACTATCTCAATTTTAACACAATATGAAGAATTCTAGCCGTATCAGTACACAACACAGTGAAGAAAAGGTTTATATAAAGAAAGACGTAGTTTAAATTTTCTTAAATAATGCCCACGTAAATTTTAAAATCGCCGTAGGCGATTTTCTCTTACCTGTTTGGGAGTTGTGTGAGAGTAATTATAAATTAATTGCTTTGTAATGAGAATGGGATTAGCGTGTTACTTCCATTATTACTCATTGTAACCCCCTCTTCCGTAAATTTTTTTGAAAAAATTAGTAAGTTTTATAAAAAAATTACTTAATTTTTTTTAAAAAAAAAATAACATAATAAACGTTAACGCTCTTCTTGTTTCAGTACACTCTCAAGTTGAGTGATACGTTTCAATTCATCTTGCAACGCGCTGTACAAAACATGTTCAGTATAAGCGTTCTAATAAAGAAATAAGCTTTAAAGTGGGTGCGAGTAATAAAAATAGAGGAAATACTTCAGCCTTTCTCAAAAGTCCTCTTAGAAGTAAAACTGCTTTGTGGCAGTAGAGACGACCGGCGGCTGCACTGTACACTTTGCTGAGCCTCAAAACAGACTCTGCCAGCTTCTCAAAGAGACTACTCAATAAAGATGAGGCCAAGAAAAACGCAAAGTTTCACAGCAAGATTAACTTTTCGTCGTGTTCCCAGCTTGATGCTGAAAGTGCTCGATAGGCTCTTAATAAAAAGTCGACTTCCTGAGAAAAGCACATAGCAGTATTTCAAGAGCTCAGAAAACAAAGGACTACCTTGTCCCAAACACCAAGGAACGAGTGCCACTCTGCGCAGAGCAGCCAGAAGCACGGGTCGGTGATGCCTACATTGCCGATGCATTCCAGCATTTGAGAAGTTTTTTCAGTAAGTGTGCGCCCTGAAAAAAGTTTTTTAAAATCTTAATGAAATATTAATAAAGAAAAATATAATAATAAAAACAGTCGACGCTATTTCCTTCATATTGCCGCACCCTTTGCATGATCAAGTCCAGCAAAAGAGTCAATTGCTACAAGTGCAGGAAAAGATGGATGCGCAGAACACCAAGAGAGGAAATTACCGGCAGGTTGTCCCATTTAGTTCGAAGGTTAACAATTTCGGAAACAGCCTCAAGGCACGTGCACACGTCTTCGAGCTGAAGGCTGACGGTAAGTAGGTTTTCCCATATTCTCCAATGAGAACGGTTGCATTTCAGACCTTCCTTATAAGCAGTTTGCGCACCATTACTACAGTTAAGTCGCTATTAACAAAATAACATATAGAAAGCGTTGACCCTCACATTTCCTCCAGCTTAGTCAATACAGCGCCGAGATTGGACCAGGCCTCTGCATTCTGTGCAGAGAGAAATCACGAGACGCACTACTGGCAAAAGTGTTGCAGAAAAACATCTCTGTCCAAAGAAAGGGCGTGCCGGAACGCACTGGCTGCTAGCGGCCACCTCTTGCAGAACATTGCCGCGCAACCCAAACTAAACCACGTTTCTAGCATCAGAACATTACTTAGTAATAAAAGCAAAGTGCCAAGAAACCCACGAGGGAATATGGGATTGATATTAAGAGCGGTCTGAAAGCACTCAATGCACCTTTCATGCTGGCCAGCCTTCAGATAATGACGCCCCAGAGATCGCATGGCTCTGGTGTACCGATGGCCTGCAATTCCGAAGTTAGCGGGGCGCAGGCAGTGGTTAACAGACGGCTAGTACCGGACGTTTCCCAAGCAGTTTCATATTCGGAATGGTCCCCGGTGATATCGCCTATTGAAGCAAGATGAGGGGCATGCGGAGTAAAGCGAGTCATCCGCAACATGCCCAAGTAACAACGCATGAGCGGCGAGTCCTCCAATGCTAAACGGCACCGGATAACGGCTAAAGCCTTCTCTGTTTCTCCAGAAATGATGTGACTTTTTACGACATCCCCCCATAATTCAAGGCCCTCGAAAAGCTCACGTGCGCTCCTGGAGCAGCCCATCGAGAGCAAGAGATATCCCAGCTCCCGCTAAAAAGACCTGTCAGATGAGCACCGACCAACCGCGGTTGTCGGTTACCCTTAAAGAATGCTTTGGCGGAAAGGCGAGGGCATAGATAAACTTTATGCGCTCTGAAACAGGCCCATCACCGTACTTAGTGTCTTCAAACTGATCTACTAATACCTGACGAGGATGGACTGCTCAGGTCTAGGCCAAGACAAGCAATGCCGATTAAAAAAACCTGCAACTGCAACGCGGCTCTCTCTGCTTTTTTCATATGCTTAGCCTCCAGCCGTGAACGCAGTAGTAGTGCAAATGAACAAATCATCCAGTTATTGTTATTTTTTTCTTCTAAAACTCGCTGGAGAGCAGTATTAAGACCATAAAACTTTTACATTGTGAAACAGATGTTTACGTTAACGTAAGGAAACATCTCATCAGCCGTAAGTCCATGCACTGGGTTGGTGTTCTTTACGTTTACACTGCAAAAACGAGCAACTTTATAGGAGAAACTAAGAACCTTGGTTATTCTGTACCAGGCAGCTAAGACAATAAGCTGGTCATAGAGACCGAGAGAGTGGTGCGGGATTTCCTCCTCGTAACAAACACTGGAATACAGCGTGTCACTCTCTAAAGCCACTTCCTGCGGGCGGTGTCCAGGCTCCTCAGGGGCGCAGCTCTCTTGTAAAAAAAATTAAGAAGGTAAAAGAGGAATATATTTTTTCTAGAAACTGTTGTTTTCCACAAGTAACGTGAGCTGTGGGAGTGGCGCGCTCTGGTATTTGGTACGTTTGCCGAGAAACCCGGTCAACCTCAAATTTAGGCCATTTAAAGCTTTTGCTTTTTCGAGAAAAGTCTTATCCATTGGCGCAAATTAATAAAGCAGCAATAGTATCATATAAAACCACAGCAACCTGCGCCTCAGTCACGTCGTTGTACTGGTAACAGGCACACACGCACTCCAGCAATAATAAGATTGTAAGCTCTTTTCTATTATTATGTAGAAAAACAGAAACTTTAACTAAAGATTTATGAGAAAAAGGAAACCTGCACGGAATCTTTTGGATCCAGCTAGAAGAGAGCGCTATAAAAAATGAGGAGTAATAAGCCATAAACCGTAAAAATCTACTCACCGCTTTCCATGTGGCCAAAATAAATATCACGGAAACTCTGAACGTTATGCTCAAGCATTCTTTGATGAAATAGAAAAGCACGGGCGCGCCACAAGCCTGCAGTCTTGGACAGAGTAGAATTGTATGTTAAAATAATAATAAAGGCAGAAAAATTAATATAGTTACTGAAAAAATAGGCAATAACGGCTCCAAAAGTGCCTCTGCTAATAGAAGCAAAAAAGGTGAAGTAACTAAGCGATAACAACTCTCTCCACATTTCTCTAAAAGCGCCAGACAATCCTTATGTAAGACCTAAAAGAAACACACTTAGCTTGCGATAGTGTAGACTAGACACTGTTATACTTCTGTAGGATAATTAGAATCAAGCTTAATAATATCTGTGAAGTTAAGTTTAAGACCAGGTCCAGTCCAATTTTCCTATAAATGTGTAGCAGGCAAAAAGAAACGTATTTAGTAAACGAATTAAGTACTTGGACGAAAGCTTGAAGGCAGGCTGCTCCCAATATTAAAACGTCAAAGGGATTGTTAGATACAAGAAATAAATTTAACCGTTTAGGTAGGTGTATAAGGATTTCTACAACATACTTTAGTAAAAACTACAAAAAAAACCAAAAATAAAAAGTACCTTTTATATTTTTACTATCTTTAGATAAATATTCAAAAAAATCTAGGGCCACTGAAGATTTTAAAAGCTCTCTGTAATTTGACTTTTTAAAAGATTCGAAAAGTGTTTGAGAGAGCACTAGGATAAGTAGTTAAAACTTTTTGGGAGTTGAATATTCGAAATATTGATCAAATAAACCTGGTAGCTTCAAAGTTGGAGGAAGATCATAATCAGGGAAGAGCAAGGACAGTTGGAGATCATCGCCTATATCACAACCCTCCACAATATTAACCGCCATTTACATAAATACTTTTTTTTTTATACCAGAACAAACTCTGTCGAATACAAACACAAATCAAGAACAATTTCAATAGCTTTCCTAACATAAGGACACCAATGTTGCGGTGTCAATCCTTGCTTTCACTTACGAGGAACAGGAACACCCTCGTGGTAGCAATTTTTGTATTCAGATGGTTACTTGAGTTGACATTTTAAAATGAAATTATATTTTAAGCAACCTTTAATCGCATTTCAACATTTAATAATTATAGTTTTTATAGACAAAAAAACTATCTTTAAAAATTACTAATTAACTGAAACATTATGCCCGAGTTATTTAAACTTTGCAACTAAATAGAGATACACTACGTATTAATATAATGGTGAGAACTTTTAAAATATATAGCTTTCATTGTAAGAGCTGATTTACGTGTAGAGTTTTTTGCTGAGTCAATATTCGCTCTTTGCAAATACTTTTTAATACATTTGGGATTAACTGGAAGAAAATCAAATTATTATATTAAGGGGGCATGTGAAAAGTGGTATAGTTCATGTAGTTTTTATTAATTAATAATATATGCATACCACTATCTCACCATAACTTAGATACGAATATTACACATCATTGCTAATTCTACTTCCTATAACGATGCCTTGTAAAGTTAAGTTATTAAAACTGCATATATCTAATTCTTAATTTTAAATACAAATTTCTTTAAAATATTAAAGATTACAATAAATGTGGTTTAATAGTTTACCAACGATGCTCATAGTTTATGAAGTGCACCTGTAACTCATAAAAAACGTTCTAAACCCGTCACGCTATGTTTTAACTGTTGAAACGAAGAATTTTTAATTCTATTTCGCTCTCATTGTAATTTACAATAAATATTTAACCAAAGCGCAATAATAAATATATAGAGTGTCTATTTGTAAGACCTGTAGCCTTTTACTAGAGCGCAACTAAGCTAAAAATAAGGGGGTCAAAACAAGTTGGTATTATGGTTTTTAAGGATATGTTTTAGTGAAGTTAGTCATGTTTTTTGTCAGAGCAGTTTTAAACCCAATGTAACACCGTGGTATCAGCATACGAAGATAAGGGGTATTAAAAAAAAAAAAGCCATTGTACGGTAAACCGCGAAGGACAACAGCTGAAAATTTAATTGGTGGTAATATTAAATTGATTATTCTTCGCGTTTATGCTTTTAGTATAAATACCATGGAGATCTTACAAGAAAAAGAAACCGCTTCATTTGCTCATCTGACGAACTAAAAGACCTTTACCTGCCAAAGTCTGCGCCTTATCCGAGCGACCATGCTGTCACAACCAGCGCTAAATCGATTGGAATGATCCATTCGGTAGAAGCTGACGACGCAATTTTATCGTAGATGGGAGGTCAAGTATACTATTTATCGGAGGCAGGCGACAGCGGCCCTTCCTATTTCTAAAGTTTTGTAAAACAGGTCAGATATCGAGGTCATGCACTACTACTACCCCTTCGCGAAGGCAAAATTGAGGCCGAGAGTGGTGAAGACGAAGCTAAACTTTTCGCTAAACCTTTCGCTGCCAAGGATGTGTTATCTCCCCTCACTGTTGCCATTTGTGCGCTTCTTCTTCAGGGAAGCTTTCCCATGGCCCATGCCAAAGATAACTTACTGAAGAAATTAAAGACTCCTGGAGGGGGGGGACCACAAAAAAAACCACGATTCAAAAAAAAATGTCGTGCACCTGCCATCATATATATATATATATTAGTTAGCCCTCATCTATACAATTGTTAAATTTTTATTCTATTGATATTATTCAGTTTTATTAATTATTATTACATTATTATTACTTTAGAGTTTTATTTTATTTACGTATAGTTTATAATTATATATTTTTTATTATTTTTACTTTACTGAGTTCTATTTATCATTATTAGAGTTATATATAATATTATATTATTCTAATTACTTTTCACTATTTTAAAAATGTAATTAAAGTTTCATTTATTATTTAAGATTATTTCTTTTTACTTTTTATTATTATTTTTATTGTAAAAAGTTATATTCAAAGTTATATATTATTACAAATTTTTTATTAACTTTACTATTTTATTAAAAATTTTAAATACATTTTTGCTTATAATATTATTATGAGTTTTTTTTGATATTTTTTTTAGTATTATTATTGTTTAAAAGTTTTATTTTTCTTTATTTATTATTGTTATTGTAAAATATTTTATTCATTACTTTTTATTAATAAATTTTTTTATATTTCTTTCAATATTATGAATTTTATTATTATAAACTATTAATATTATTTATTACTTAAAAGTTTAATTGCTGTTGTTGGAGTATACTCTTTTGTGTAACCATCTGGTTATATCCAATTTTTTTTGTTAGATTTCCCTTCACGCAACAAAGTGGACGCCCTACCAAGGCATCGAGTGCTAACACGTCCCCTTGCCTTATTGAATGATATCCACAGTAATCGATTTTCCACTTCATTATCTTACCATGATAACACATCTAACAAATCAAGAGTCCAAATGCTCTGGTTGAGCCTAGCTATCCCCGAAAATACACCTTATCTGTTACCACTGTGATATAGAGATATGGAAGTCGAAATTTATGAAAATTTTTTAACAATGTACGGAAGTGTGTTAGGGCTTGATGCACCGTCCAAAGTTAGTTTCGCTTATATTGTTAACCTTCTTTTTCATAGTAGGCATTTCTCCAAATGTTTCTAGGGTTAAGCTTTCCTGGCTGAATGAATGAATTTATAAAAATTGCATTTATTTAAATTGCTCGATTGTAAATAGTTTAATCTGCCTTAAATTTATCAATTTGGCAAGTGGAAATCCTAAACGAAAAGTAAACCATAAAAATTCGTGGGGGGCCACCTAAAAGGCTAGTTGCTATATTTTAAGCTAGTGAACAGCGTTGAGACCTTTTTACTTTTGCGCTTTTGTTGCTTTACCATAATTGGTAATTTTATTCATGCGTACTAATGCGTAATTAGAATATAAAAGTAGTTATAAAAATTAGTAGTATATTCATATATTTATACTATACAAAATATTATGTCTTCGTTTTTTAAAGATAATCGAAAATAAATTAATATTATATAAACCTACTTTTCAAGATTCATAAGAGCATAAATATATTATATAGACTATAAATATTTTAATAGTTTTTATATATAATACGTATAATAAGTAAATGAAAATATTCATAAGTATATAGAAATATTTACAAAAAGTATGGATTTAATATAATATAAAAGTTTCATAACTTTTTAGAGGTTTTTTTTAATGAAAATAAAAAATAAATTTATAATATAATAATAATAACCATAAAAAAGGGGAAAAAATAAATTTCAATGAAAAAGAAGACGACCTCTTTGTTTAAGGCTTCAAAAGTCCCCTTTTCTTTGATTTCTCCATTAAGCATCGTATAAATATAGGCGCACATGTGAGCCACTGAAAAATGTTTGTACATAAGGAAAATAAGAAGGTTTCATAATTCTATGTGATATTTATTTTTTTTATTTTATTACTATTATATTTATTTTTAAGGAAAAAAATAACGAAAGTTTTTTTTTTTAATAAAAATTAAATAAAAATTAAGATAAAAATAAAATTAATAATAGTCGTAATAATGAAACCTAAATTCTAACAATCCGATTAGACGAAGCACTTCATTAAAGACATGCTTTCCGACATGTGCGTCAATTGCTAACGCCAATAAAAATTAATAAAAATTAATAAAAATTATTACCAAAAATAAATACAAAAGCGCTTTACAAAAAACAATATGTTTTATATTTATTTAAAAATATTATAAAATATATAAATTTGATATAAATAATAAAATACAATAAAAAATAATTTATAATAAAAATATTTTATATATAAAAAAGTTATAAACAAAAGGCTTTATTAAAAAATTAATTGATAATATTAGAAGTATAAAAAAGTTAAATAAAAAAAATATATAAAAATTAACATTAACATTAATAATTAAAACATAAGGAAAATTTTATAATAAAAAAAGTTTAAAAATTATATATACAAAGAATATATAAACTTTATGTAAATAATATAATAAATAATAAAAAAAAGAAAATTATATTATTTATAATAAAAAAAATATGTTGTATAAAAAGTAATAAAAAAGTTTATATATAGAATTACATAATCACGATAGAAATAAAGTAAGAACTATTAATAAAAGTTTAATAATAAAATATATAAAACTTAAAAAATAAAAATATATATTTATAAGTAGAAAAATTTATATATAAAAAGTATATAAATTTATACAAGTAAAATAACTAAAAAATATTTAATTATATAATAAAATATATTTTATATAAAAGAATATGCACGAAAGAAAAATAAACAATACAATACACATAATAAAAAATAATAATATAAAAATATAAAAACTTTATATAATATAAAAAACAATAAAAATATAATAAAATAAAAGTATTCTATTTATAAAAAGTTAATAGTAATTTTGTGCACCAATAAATATATACTCAAAAAGAATAATGAATAGTAATAATGATAAATAAATAGTAAATAATAAAATAAATAATGTATAGTAATAAAAATAATAAGGTTAATTTATGATGATTAAAATGAATAATATATAATGGATATAATAGTAATATATAATAATAAATAGTGAATAGTAATAATATAACAAATAATAATTGTAATAAATAATTAATAGTAACAAATAAAAAAAATCTACGTATAAAAATGTAAAAAATAAGATTATATAAAAATATAGACAATTTTTTTTTAATGAATTGGGAATAAATAATATATATTTTTATATAATAATAATATATTTATTTTCTATATAAATAAAAATATAATAATTATATTTCTTCATCCATATGAAATAAATTAAAAATTTAACAGTAAAAGAAAATATATATATATATATAAATATTATACTAAAGTATAAAACATATCTAAATATATAATAACAAATCTAATAAATAAATAATAATATAAAATTTATAAAAAAATTTTAACGTACAAAGATTATATTGATTTATTATAAAATAT